CAAGTAAGCATAGGAACCAAGCTGGGGGCCACTGASAGGGAAGAACTGATCAATTTCCTCAGGTCTAACTCGGACGTCTTCGCATGGTCTCACGAGGACATGCCTGGCATCGACCCGAAGATCATGGTGCATCGCCTCAACATAGACCCATCATTTCGACCTGTAAAGCAAAAAAGAAGACCTGTAAATAAGGAGAGGAGTGATGTAATCATTGAGGAAGTAAACAAACTCTTAAAAGCTGAATATATACGAGAAATTHTGTATCCTGAGTGGCTCTCTAACGTTGTATTAGTTAAAAAVTCCAACKGGAAGTGGAGGATGTGCGTGGACTTTACAAATCTAAATAAGGCATGCCCAAAAGATTGCTTCCCCCTTCCGAGGATCGACCAGCTCGTGGATGCAACGGCCAGGCACGAGCTGCTCACCTTCATGGATGCCTACTCCGGATACAACCAAATTAAAATGCATCTGCCAGACCAAGATCATATCGCGTTTATTACAGACCAAGGTTTGTACTGCTACAAGGTAATGCCTTTTGGCCTAAAGAATGCAGGTGCGACCTACCAAAGGATGGTGAACAAAATGTTCACTAGGCAAATCGGTCGGAATATGGAAGTGTATGTGGACGACATTCTTGTCCAGAGCAAGCAGTCAAAGTCGCATCTTTCCGATCTGACCGAAGCCTTTGGAGTGCTACGCAAGTATCAAATGAAGCTCAATCCGACCAAGTGTGCCTTTGGAGTCTCCTCGGGAAAGTTCCTTGGTTTTATGGTAAATAACCGTGGGATTGAGAAGATAAAGGCCGTGCTCGAGATGGAGGCGCCCAAGACTCTAAAGTAGCTTCAGTGCCTCAATGGAAGGATTGCAGCCTTGAATAGGTTCGTGTAAAGATCGACGGAAGAGTGTGAGCAAGCGCTAGGGCAGTTAAAAGACTATCTATGCTCGGCACTTCTACTCGCAAAGCCATTGCCAGGGGAAAAGCTCCATTTGTACCTGGCGGTATCTGCTAGCGCCGTCAGCTCGGCACTGATAAAGCAGGAGGGTGCGCGCCAGAGCCCCGTTTATTACACCAGTAAAGCCATGACCGAGGCCGAGACCAGGTATCCCCAAATGGAGAAACTGGCCCTCGCTTTGGTCACCTCGGCCCGAAGACTTAGGTCGTACTTCCAAGCACACACGGTCGTAGTACTTACAAACTTGCCCCTGAAGAATATCTTCCTTAAGCCTGAAACATCAGGGCGTCTGATAAAGTGGGCATTGGAATTGAGCGAGTACGACATCCAGTTCAAGCCCAGAACTGCGATGAAAGAACAAGCAGTGGCCGATTTTATCGCAAAGCTCACTCCACCACCTCAGTTGGTCAAGTCTGACCTCCTGTGGACGATCTTCATTGATGGATCTTCTAACGAGAGGGGGTGCGGGGCAGGAATCCTCTTGCTCGCACCAGGAGGTGAGCGGTTTGAGTATGCTCTGCGGTTCAACTTTCGGACGTCAAATAATGAGGTCGAGTATGAAGCACTCCTAGCAGGCCTGCACGTTGCCAAAGGACTAGGGGCCAACCACATTAAGATCTTCAGTGACTCCCAGTTAATTGTAAATCAGATCAAGGAGGAGTACCAAGCGAAGGACCCCCGGATGGAAAAATATCTGAGCAAGGTCAGATCGCACCTCGCCCAGTTTGGGACTTACGAGGTGAGTCAAGTTCCAAGATCTGAGAACTTTAATGCAGATGCCTTAGCCAAATTGGCATCAGCATACGAGACCGACTTGGCTAGATCGGTCCCGGTCGAAATCTTGGACACTCCTTCAATCTTGGAGCCAGAAGTAATGGAGGTTGATACTCCATCACCCACTTGGATGGACCCAATCGTGGAGTTCATCAAAGGAAACCCACCGCAAGATCCGAGGGAGCAAAAGAAGATGGCGCGAAGAGCAGCTCGGTTCACACTCCGAGAAGGAATGTTGTACCGACGTGGCTTATCCCTGCCTCTCCTCAAGTGTGTGACTCCCGAAGAAGGCCTTTACATTCTTAGGGAAGTTCGTGAAGGGGTGTGTGGAAACCACTCTGGTGCCAGGTCGTTGTCGGCCAAGGTGGTTCGACAAGGGTACTATTGGCCCAGTGTCGAGCGCGATGCAAAGCAGTTTGTGAAAGCTTGTGACAACTG